AAAACTATCAGGTCTGTGGCAGTGTCGTATGACATCTATGTACCAAGTTTCATTTGAAATGTGATGATTAGTACTTGAGATATCAGTGGAAAAACCGAAAATTGACTAATCATTATGCAAATTAGGTAATTAGTATCCACGGATTATTACCAAAAACTAATCAAAACCTAGCATTAGTTCAGAGCATCTATGTACCAAGTTTCATCAAAATCCAATGAGTGGTTGTTTAGATATCAGTGGAACAGTCATGGAACCACTAAAAAATAGCTAATTATCATGTAAATTAGGTAATTAATATGCACGGATTTTTACCAAAAATTAATCAAATCTGCGCATATGTTCAGAGCATCTATGTACCAAGTTTCATCAAAATCCAATGAGTGGTTCTTTAGATATCAGTGGAACAGTCATAGAACAGCTAAAAATTAGCTAATTATCATGCAAATTAGGTAATTAACGAGCATGGATTTTTACCAAAACCTAATCAAATCTGCGCATTGGCCCAGAGCATCTATGCACCAAGTTTCATCAAAAACCGATGTATGGTTCTTGAGATAGCAGTGGAACAGTCGGACACACATACACACATACACACACACATACACACATACACACATACACACATACACACATACACACATACACACATACAGACACACTAACTGCAAAGACTCCCATTTTGTGCTTCGCACATGGGAGTCAAAAATCGATGACAACCTGGATGCAATTGGTAATGACTGTCACAAGTACGTATGTGAATCTGCTGATGTGAAGGTGATTGATGTGTTGTCATGGCAACCAAGCATGTCTTCAAGTCATTTGTTGTGCTGTGTATAACTGAGTTTCAGAGGTGAGTGTTGAAAGGAATGCGGTGATTTGAGTTCAAGCCGCGCACAAAGAAGAGTGGAATTGCGAAAGACAAGGGTGCAGGGGGAAAAAAAGAAGAAGATGATGCAACAGAAACAGTGAGAAAATAATAAGAATAACAAGATGGCAGCATCCGCTCACTTACAGGGTCTAAGAGACAGGAAGTGAACTGCATGGCTTCTTGGTGATGCTGTTCTAGCATATCCATGTGAAGATCATCCAACAAAACATTTGTATCATCATAGAGCAGACCATCATCCAGCTATGAATAGACAGAATGCACAGCATTAAAATGAAGAAATGAAACATGCTAAAGCTGAGAAAAGCTATGTAAAGAGATATGAGCTTCAAAAAAAAAATAATGATTAAACATGCTAGCAAATAAATCCTTGACAAAATGATTTAAGAAGTGTTCCTCCTTTTATCCATAGACTGATTTGAATAATCAAGCAAAAGAAATTACAGAAGTGAAATAGTTGTGTTGCTCTGAACTATAGTTAAATCATTGCGCGAGTGTGTTTGTATGTTGGAAACAAATTCTGAAAGAGAAAGTACTACAAGAAATATAATATAGTTGATATGGACCTCCTCCTAGTTTTATTGCTGATCTTTTGGCAGTGATTATGAAAGCCAGCATAGAGAGCATGTCACTGTAAAAATAAACTTTTTTTTTTTTCAGATTGAGGTTTTAATTTTCATCATTATTAAATTGTTCATGGTAAATATATCTAATAAATATCGCTGTATATAAAAATAATTAACCAAGGGTGGTTCAGATTGAGTGTTTTATAAATAAAATGAGGTCTTAATGTTTACTTTCCAGACTAAAGAAATTCAGTGATATCTTCAAATTGTTGTTTGATCAGATGCAGCGGAAGTAGCTGCCTCGTCTATAAATGTTCGACTATCGCAATGCAATTAAAGCCAATGGCAACCAACATGTCCATCAATCGTTCGTACGCCTTCGGGCGCTGTATATAGGTTACGTTAATGTTGCTATGTAACAGTACTCTTTCTAGACATGTCAAATTGTCCCTATAAGCAACTGATTGTCACTCAGCATTTGAATGAAGCATACAACCCAATATGAGGTTACTACGCATACCTGAAAAAAGAATTAATTCCTTTTCGGTCAAGATATTGCCATTTTGCCAACCAATAATCAGATAAGTTAATAATAACGCTAACTGACGCGAGTCACTATGTTGATGTCAGTAAAGATTTCCAATTTAAAAACTTGTATAGTCCTTTGCTGTTTTTCAGCAGCCAGAGGTGAAACTTGTCATGTCGTGAGCTGCATACTAATTGGAAAACTAACTCTTTCAGGAATGAACTTTCCCATGTAATGTCACTGAGCTGAAATATTGTCAGCATAGTAAATATTCTTAATACCGAGAGGAGAAATCCCTGATTACTGCGATACACATTATTGTCAATTTCATCTGCCAGTCACATGTTCAGCTAATCAACACTGAGAGTACATTCTGGGTGGGATGAGTACTTTCTTTATCTTACATAGCATCTTCTTTGCACTGGTCCAACATTAATGTAAATACCATGTAACGATTCCGTACAAGCTTTCATTTCGCCCATTTCTTACTTGTAAGACTGACAGATGTATGACACCTGGGAATATTGCAACTCAAGCAGGTATGCTACATACAAAATGATAACGGCGTTACCTTACACAGGTATTGAGCGATGATCAGAGTGATTGCATTGAAATTATGGGATACTGCACTTAAGTTGAGATCAAATGATGACTAATGGCTAAAACAGCACGTTTGTCACTTTGCGATACGAAACATGGATTTTTTACGTCTAATTCTGGCATTAAGTTTCATATTGAGAAAATAAATTTGTTTTATGACTTGTTTGAACACAAAAATCAACCTTTGTCACCTTTCTCAAAATCCTTGATCAAGACATGTAGTCAGGAAGAAATAAGGCCATTTGGTTTAAAAACTTACATAAAAGATAAACACAAATGTGAAAACTGCTTCACCAAAATGTTTTGTGGAAAAAAGTGATGGCATTAAATTGGTTGATGACACATCTATATACTTTCATAAAAATTATTTACACAACCATTGAATGCTAAATGTGCAACTCACATTGCCCGTCATACAATGTATGCTGCACAATGCACAATTAAGAGAACCATATAAGGCAACATGGAAATGAAATGGCTGTTCACTGTTCAACACGGAAAACTATCATGGTACAAAATAGTCTTAAATTTTGCATTTATATTCCAAATTATATGTCAGCTGCAAGACTATATTTAGTGCAACATGTAGCCATGGTTATTAAGCTGTATGACCATATTTTGTGTAACATGAATCCATGGTTACTCAGTGACATGATCGTATTTGGTGTAACATGAATCCATGGTTACTCAGTGACATGACAATATTTGGTGTAACATGAATCCATGGTTACTCAGTGACATGACCATATTTGGAACAACATGAATCTATGGTTACTTAGTGACATGACCATATTTGGTGCAACATGAAGCCATGGTTACTCAGGTGCATGACCAAATTTGGTACAACATGTATTCATGGTTACTCAACTGCATGACCATATTTGGTGGAACATGTATCCATGGTTACTCAGTTGCATGACCATATTTGGTAGAACATGGATCCAGACATAATTTTGTCCGCCCCAGTTTTCAGCGTATATAGAACAATGGTTAACTTTAAAGTGACATGACTGTGTTTTTTGGCCATTTTCCCATATTTTTTATTCCATGTAAGAACAATGAGCTAAAAACATATGAAAACATGTTGTATAGCATGGTGAGAATTACCAATTAAAATCATTGCAGTAGAACCTACACCAAATCTAGTTCTAACCGGGGCCATATATATATACTATGCTGTTCCCATACTATTCCACAAGGATCAAAATGGGATTCAATTGCACATGAAACAAGACCCGGTAAATAATAGTTAGCGGAGTGAGAGAAAACGAAAGCTATTTTTTCTGCCTGCCAAATCAATGTAGCAGACTGACGTGGACAGCTTTACTTTGAACTAAAATGAAGAGAGCATGCTGGGAAGTTCAGGTCTGCTGGATGTCTAGGAAGTAATGTAACCTCCAAGCAATTATCTTTAATGCCTTGTTGAGTTATGTTTATTTATATATATATAGTTGACACCATTATCAAGAAATGTAAACCACTCAGAGAAAGTATATTTACCTGTAACTGAGGTCTACAGACAAGAATCGCAATTTCTTGTCGGTCTTGGGAAAACAGCATGATGGCCTGGTCTTTATTGTGTACGTCCACTCCATTGATCTGTGAGTCAAACAATAAATGTATATGTTAGTTAGTCTCCATGCTAAAAAAGCTACTCAAGAATACTGCAAGGCATTTTCCACTCTGACATGGAATATCTAAGACAAGCCAGGTGGAAATTGCCAGAAAAAATTGATTAATACGAATATTATGATAATTTTTCATCGATACTCTAAATCCGATTTAAATAATTTAAAAACATGTGTTCAATTTATCAAATTTAAATGCATATAAGAATGTGAATATAACCATTCCAAAGATTCAGTTGTTGTCTGCCAAAGGCACCAAGAATAAGAAAACAAGTTGGTTTTCAATTATAGATGACTAATTACGCAGTATTTGTATTTAAAACTCATTTTTGTAAATATCTAATTTGGAAAATATTTTGATTTAACAATCTGAGACACCATGTGTCAAGAAAGTGAGAGTTGGGTAATCGAGGATAAGCAAAGTGGAGGTAGGATAAGCAGGGTGGGAGTGGGATAAGCAGGGAGAAAGTGGGAAAATCTACGAGGGAGTGGGATAAGTAAGGTGGAGGTAGGATAAGCAGGGTGGGAGTGGGATAAGCAGGGAGAAAGTGGGAAAATGTATGAGGGAGTGGGATAAGTAAGGTGGAGGTAGGATAAGCAGGGTGGTCGTGGGATAAGCAGGGAGAAAGTGGGAAAATCTACGAGGGAGTGGGATAAGTAAGGTGGAGGTAGGATAAGCAGGATGGTAGTGGGATAAGCAGGGAGAAAGTGGGAAAATCTATGAGGGAGTGGGATAAGTAAGGTGGAGGTAGGATAAGCAGGGTGGTAGTGGGATAAGCAGGGAGAAAGTGGGAAAATCTATGAGGGAGTGGGATAAGTAAGGTGGAGATAGGATAAGCAGGGTGGTAGTGGGATAAGTAAGGTGGGAGTGGAATAGGCAAAGTGGGTGTACCAGTAAGTTAATCAAGGAGAAAGTCAGATAAGCAAAGTGGGACAAGCAAGGTGGGAGTGGGATAAGTAAGGTGGGAGTGGGATAAGTAAGATTGGCATGGAATAAGCTAAGAGGAAGTGGGATAAGTAAAGTGGGAATGGAATAAGCAATGTGGGAGTGGGCTACAAGCTAATTGGGAGGGGACTAAGCCATGTAAGTGAGAAAAAAATGAAGCAAAGCAGACATCCCATGAAAGAAGTTGTAGATTATTGAATAAACATAAATAAATAACAATCAATGTAATTAACAATATTCACTAATAAATAGAAATTGTATGAATCTAAAAGTATACAGGGAGGCAGAGATGATGACAGCCGAGCTAATATGGATAGAAATGACTTGGGGGCTATTTGAATGCCACATTAGAATGTAATTTTCAATAAATTAACGAACAAGATTCCCCAGCATCAGCTGCTCTATATGCAATTTATAAATTATATACACCTATATATAAGTGAGTTTCTGTAATTCATTCTCCCTATAGTTTTAAATATTTTTAAAATTTATATAATTATCATATGACCATCTCAGAGTAAATCTTCAAAACTTTGAAAGCATAGTATTGAACGGTTGTCATCTTTCATAAAATAAATCTGCATAATTATATTAAATCTAAAATTAACAATGAAATGATAGAAAAATATTGCACCATAATATTTATGGAGTTCAAAGAGTTTAGGAATTATTACTACCTGAAAATGATATTAGAAAAAAAATATTGAAACATTGCAAATGATTTCTTAAAATGAACACATATCTCTGCTAAGATGTCTGAACTTGATTTTAAGTTTTAAGGTTTGAAGATCCATCAATGACGACTAACATCTAGTACATTTCAACTCTACTGATTGAACAACGTATGACCTTGGAGGCTATGGTTGCCATGGTGAAGGTCAGAGTGGACTGGATGTAAGTAAATGTTGATGGGTGTCTAGAATTGCATGAATCCTATCTATATTTCCTTTCTTGTTAAAAACTCTACGGATTTCTCAATTTCATGGTATTTTCTACTTGACTAGCCAAAGTGATCTAATGCTTGCCTCCTAGGAATTACTTTTCCTAAGACGCAGATGGACAGCGCAGTCACTCAAGCAGCAAAGATGGACTTCTTGAAACACCGGCCATGCGACTGAAAATCTCATTCCAAATATTATGCCAGAACTATCTCAGAGGAAATTCAGCCAGTAAAGCATTGTCAGGCTAAATTTTCTGCTCGGCGGGGTTGATTCTGCGGTAATAGACACGCTTCTCTGCGACTAGCACACAGAGATACAGATAAATAAAGGTTCAGTGAAATGAGACATTCTGACACAATAGAGCTGACTTAATATGATTATAAGGAATTCTCACAATGTGAAAGCGGTGAGTGACAAAAAAAAGGTAGTGTATAATGTTGCAATATAATATCTCATACCTCTCCTACCAGTTCAAAATACAGAAAAATGTTTTGGAACAAAATTGGATGTGTGCCCCAGATTGGCTTTTTCCCACCAAAATGTTATAATTTTTTTTTGTATTTTTTTATAATTTCTAACCTAAATGACAAAATTGTTTTTATGTTCATAATAGACCCTACTTAAATGATGGAGCATGCAATAGATGTAGTTTTTGGTTTATCCATGCTTCTACTACAGATGCACTTTTATGCAGGTTTATTTTGTGTGACAAAAAGTATATGTCGTTTCGTAATTTTTTTTCATTGTTTGACAAGTTAGAACATCGAATATTTATCTTGAATTACCTGCAGAATCTGATCTCCTTCCCGTATTCGGCCATCTTGTCCCGCTATACTATAAGGTTCGATCTGAAAATAATAATAAAACAATTTTATTTATCAATATTGTCAATATATTACCCAAAAAACTCATTTAATAGCCATCCATTTTTTTTATTCATAAAAGAAATAAATGAAAACAGGAAAATTTCCATTATTTTTTATAACACAAAAATCAACAATTCTCCCTTGTTGTCTGGCTGTAAATGGTTTATCATCGAACGGGGGTCATGTGATTATATTACAATACATGGCGGCCACATCAAGGTATCTACATTTCTTAACCTTTTAATTAGAAGCTTTATAATTATATAAAACTATTAAAAGAATTAATCACCGGTTGATAGTGAAGAGATGGATAATTGGATATTTAATATCAGATTTCATTCATATATATTTTTAAAGGTATTGATTTGAAATCAGTGTAAGCTGTGTATTGGAATCCTCTATGTCTATGTTCCCTTAGGCACCAACCTTACAATATGCACAGTTCAATTTCAAAATAACCCGATGGAAAATTAAATTTCATTTCATTAATTTCTAATGTTCATTCATATTTTCTACAGCGAGTGCCTGAGGAGTGCTAATTGTATTAAGCAAGTAAATCTAAAAGGGGTTTCATCTTTTCTTTTTTTTTTCCTCGTTTTTTTTTTTCAGCTGAGAAGCATAGGTGTGTTTTAACTCGAACATGCAATGTGAGGCAAGCTAGGGAGTCATATGAACACAGAGAACTACACAGTTAAATTGAGGCTGGCTAAGGAGTCATATGAGCTCAGGGAATTGCATAGTTACATATTGTAATGGTTTTAAGAAAGTATGTTATATCATAAATATTATAATATGAGGGTTTTAAGAAATTCAAATATGCTAGGTCATAAATGTTATACAATATAAGCAATTTAAGAAACTATGTTATGCATTTTCATGTTTGTAGGACTGTGACTGAAATGTCTTGTGTATTAAACTGCTAGTTAGGCAGTGTTGTGATGGATGTGGGTCCCACACAATGTGCATAGAAGCACACTAAAATAAAAACTGCAGTTATTGTATGATAGATCTTTGAAATACGTCTCATTTTTACATTCGTAAAAATTCGTAAAATGTCACGAAACACTTTGGTGTAATTGAGTTTTACGGAGTAGTTGTCTGCCAACACACTGTGAAATCACCATGGACAATAGAAACCTGTAGTTATAAACATACATGTAGGAGGCAGATCCAAATCATGTCTGAACAGTCAAAGGTTTATTTATAACTGTTCCTTGAAAGGTAGATTACAAACCAGAAAGATGTCATGGTCAGGGTGTAATCATGCATGAAAAGTTTGCTAACAACTAAGGAGTTCAACATATCAGTTTCGCTCATTCTGTAGAAACGATATATAACGCAGAGACAGTAAATACAAAGCACCTCAAGTAAAACGATTAAGTATAGTATTAAAGTGTGGAAATGGTAAGTAATAAAAAAGAACCTAAAACATTTTAACTTTAAACCCCCTATTTTTTTTTAATCTGATCGTAAATTGTTATGAGGCGAGCTTAGAAGCTACCAGTGTTACTCTATCAACACTGTCTACTCACCAGAACTGCCTGTAAGTTCATGTGGCATGAAGAGCAAATCAACACTGCCAGCTCAAATTTCCTTACTGAAGCTTGTTATAAATTGACCTGGTGTGGCCCTGCAGTGAAAACTATGCAAAGTCTGATTCTCTTGGCGTTAGGTTCTGTATATCCCCCATCTACAGTCCCTAGAGATCACAGTTTCTCTTGCCTCATTAGGGCTTGTTAAGCATGTTTTGAATGCCTGCCAAAAACAACTTAATCAGAGCTGAACCTGTAGTTTTCTGTTTTAGTTCAGTGTCTTAATTCCTATCGTAATTCATCACTCATCACGTTGTGATCACTATAATGTGATATATTATCTTGTTCAGGCTTGTAGAATATTGCACCATATTAAAGTTGAGTGCAGTACTGATACAGTATCGATTGTTTTCTCATTGAAGTTTTGACTATGCTTACTTATAGCACCAGACAATGCTAAGTTTCAGTGCCTGGATTGTTGAATTACAATTTTGTATTACGTTTATTCTTTAGTTCAATTGCCATATTTTATATTTTTGTGCAAAAAAAAAAAAAAGAAAAAAATACAATTCACAGGTACTACGAACAATCAAATCTTACAATTGTTGTTATATATATATTTTTTCCCCTTACCAAAATTAGGCATAATAAAACAGTTACCAACTTGTGGCTCACTGTTGAAGATTTCCAAATGGATGGTGAAACATGCTTTGCTTGATTAACTTGCGTATAAATATCAAAATTGTGATTTCGAAAAACAACAACATATACATATCATATTACTCTCAATTTTAATTAGACCTTTATCACATCTCACCATCCATACATCAATATAAAGCTCTGTTGTCATTCATAATTACGCTATATTTGTATTCAATGATATTAATTTACCTCGCTAACAAATATTCCCGTTTCTTCTTCATCATCAGTGCCATAACACAGCGTCAGTCCCAGTTTGTCATTGTTATTTCTTCTCCTCAAAAACACCTCCTACAGAGACAATAAACAGGTGTGAAATGAACGCCATGATAAACTGATTTTCTATTTCGCATCAGTCAGGAGTTTTATGCGTGTAACTCGTTGGTAGTTGGTAGTGACAGAATATTAATGACAGACTGATCTTACCTCGTATTCCATTTCATAGCCTTTATCAAGCCCTTCATCCAGCAGGGGAAAATCATAATTATCTACACTGTCAAGTTCATTTAGTAAATCATTGTCAATTAATGTCATCGGCTGTTGTGGAGATATTTCACATAGTCTGAAAAAAAGGAAAAACAACAATTAGAGCTGGAAACACAAACTGTGTTTACTTTACTTTACTTTACTTAGCAATATATTGAACTAATTTCTGTTCAAATTCTTAGTATACTATATTTTCCATATATATATATATATTGACATAAATGAAATTACTGATACTCTTCTAATTTCGCAAATAACAAATTTTCACAAATCTGTAAAAATTCTGCAATTTTGTAGCTGCAGTAAAAATTTGTCATGGAAATCACAAAATGTTGTTCTCACGGAACCCATAAAATCATCAAATCCTGACAATTACTAGCAGTGAAATTTAATCAGTTTATAGTAATTCTGTAGTACAAAAAACGCCTAGGTATATTTGTCTGATAAAAAAAAAGTTAACTGTGAGTCCACCTATCCTAATAAAACTGGCATTTTGTCAAATAGTTTAATTAACGCTACAATACATGTACATACAGGAAGGGGGTAATAGCAGGTTGCAAAATACTCGTTACTATTGTCTCAGATTAGTCATAGACTTAGAATTTTAAGCGTAAAAAATAGTGAACCACATTTGTGTTCCCATGTGATATACTATGCAATGTCGTGTAGATTACATTGTTTCTAAACACTCCGCATGGCTGTATTTTTTTTTATTATTATTTTTTTTTTTAGCATTTTTTAGCAAACTAAAGTCAAGTTCAGTGATAGTTTGTTTGAGTTTGAGTGGTGAAGATTCTGTGTACTTTAGTTGATTGCTCTTGATAAAACAAATATTATATCACTTTTAACTGGAGATGTGCTTTCAATATTGAAGTATGATATTGAATAATTAAAAAGTCTTTGTGAAGCATGTATCAATTTGATAACACAACACTCAGCGTTGTGATATATTTGTGTACTCGAAAAACTCAGACTGGGAACACTGCCAGTATTCAACAGATGAAACTGAAATACACTTCAAATAGTTATTTATATATTTTTTTTTAATTAATATATGACAAATCATTGCGGGGAAAATCGGGACAAACTCGATACAAGGGGAATAGGAAATGATATACAGCTGGCTAAAAAGATCAGTAATATCAAAACAAATTGTGGAGAATTGGTATTTAGTTAATAGCTTATTTGTTTATAGGGAAGTATATATTGGTAACAGGAGAATGGAGAGTGCAATGTCGTCGCTGTTCGCAATGCACAAGAAATGCAGCAGCTGTAGGGATACATGTTTATTTAGCTTTTAACACCAATGAATCAGCGCGGATTATCAAATACAACTTTACAAAAGATGCAATGAAAGAAACCATCATATGCTGTGTTGAACAAACAGCAATATCACAGACGGAGAAATATTAAATCCACGATTGTTATTTTTCACTTCACAGATGGTGAAACCATTATTTCCATTTTAATACTCATTCACGAATTGAGAAGTTGGCAGCAGATGCAAAGGTTTTCATATCTCCATCATTGTTGAATGCTGACACCTACAATGAACTGAGTACACATAATTCTGTATATTTTTATGCCAGCTTTCAAGTGGATTTTAAAAGCATTTTCCAATCCCTCGTGAAAGTATGTTGGTGTTTCAATTGTGTCGGTGATAGCTTCACAATTATACAGTCATACAATAATGCTTTCTATCCTAGCAATCATTAATTGCAAGCAACCATTCAATTATTTCTTTGGGGGAAGTGGGTTATGGAAACTACCTTAATTGCTCAATCATAAATGAGTCTCTTACATAAGCACAAATAAATCATTAAAATATGACTTAATATTCACACTTTATTTTCGTTTGAAATTAATTCTCGCTGAAGGAATGATTTGGTGAAAAGAAAATCCACCGAAAATACCTTTTTTCCTATATATTACATTCAACTTTTCAAAAATCAGTGAAAATAAGTTCCATACAAAACACCAAAAAGGTGTTTTCGGCGAAAATTAATTCCAGCTAAAGTATTTTACAGTAGTTCATAAAACGCTGTATGGACGTGTTCGAATATGTTACAGAAGCGTTCAAATTTCTTCCTTATTTGGAAAATGTGCCACATTTGAACAGTTTTCATTGTTTACATCGGACGCAGAAGCGACATAGCGTGTGACGAATCCTGTCACTGAACGCAAAGGTTGGCACAGCGCAAAACATTTTTCTTTACCATTTTGGGTTGCTATCTCTCAATAAATCATTATTAAAAGCAGAAAAAGGTGTATATATCATTACCACAAAATGCTAAAAAGTATGTGCACTCAGGCAGTACGAAAACACGCCGACCTACGCTACGCATCAACATTTATATAAGAGCACGTGTTACTAATAGAGCAATACACTACCACTACACATTACCATTCATCATGATTAAAACACCACACGCGAAACATGAAAAATTTCACACACAGAGCATATTTTTCATATCACAAGTTATGAAATTATGATCAACTAAAACTTGAGTGAAGGTTAGAAAGCAGTGGAACAAAAAGAAAAAAAACGACCTTACCCTTTAATTGACATTGACATTGGCGGTGGTGTAGGACATCTATGAATGGAGTTTGTATAAAAATTATCCATTTGAATATCTGTTTGCGTTGATACACTGCATGTTGTTGATTCTCTACTTTTTAATTTCGTCCGAGACGTTCTTCTTAAAACTTGCACAATAATTGGTTCAGAAGCATTCCTGAACGCTTCAACTGCTTCTTCGTGAGACGCTCTTGACAGATCCTTGCCGTTGACCTTTTAAAAAAAGGGAAAATAACAAAAAAATTAAATTATTTGTGTTTGTGACGTCATATTAGCAATATCAAATCATGCACTCACAAAATACCTCAGATTCCGCATCCAGTGGAAACATACAACAGTGGTTTTGACTTTAGCTTGCCATGACATGTAACAACTCTGACTTGTACCACCCATACAGTCCTTCATTCATACACTTTATATACAAACTTATTTATAGAATAACTCCCATATGAGAACATGGAAAATATCAAGAAGATGCTTTTTTTGGCATAATATTTTACTGTTTATAGTCTAAAATATTGAATATGATATGCGATGTATTAAACATTTAAATCTAGAAGTGTAGTAGTGTTAAGCCTAATCTCAGAGTAATTGGGCACACTGGATTTAAGTTGGAAAGCAAAAATAAAGTAAACGACAACTAGTACAATGTCCACTGATTCCATAGTATTATTCCTGAAGTACAAGTTTATGGAAGTAAGCAGGAAAGCCCCATACAAATGACATACGCACTGACATTTCAAATTAAATGACTTATATATGTAGTCACTGAGAAAATAAAGGTATTTTACTAATATAACCATAGCCTAGGACATAATAATTGTTGGGAAACTGAATTAAATGCATGCACATCCAAAAAAAATGGGATGAGACTGATTTCATAAGCATGGAGTAATCATTGTAAGCATCCAGTTGAGTGGAGTTTGCAATGTAAAAATTGTCCTTAATACCAAAACACATTGGTATAGAACAAATTACAAGGAATTTAATTGACTCAAATCTCCTGCTCCAAATACCTGAACGATGAGTGCCACTTTTACAGCACAAGTTGACGATTTCGTCACACATCGTGATTACAGTGTGAAGACTAGTTTTATCTCACAAGGAGGCAACAACACATCAAGACAAAATACCGGTAAGTGAAGTGAAATGTCTTTTCTTAATGATTCACCTCAACACCGGGGGAATCTTTAACGAAGACTTGTTGCTGGCAGTTACCTCATTGTTATTTACCGCACAAATATATGAAAATGGCGGCCAGGGGCTGAGGCAGCAGCTGCCAAACTGTGGTTTCAAGAGTTGTATAAACTGCATTTATAATTGGAAACCTTTCTTTGAAAAGGTACACATAGCTGGCAGAAATAACCGGCAAACGCTTTCTTTTAAAAACCCGATGAACTTGAGAGATAGTTGTTTTAATCATTTCACATTTACTCATACATGTACAATGCGAATTGAATAGCTGTTTGTTTGGTGAAAAAAAAAAAAAAAGGTGGTGATCTAAATAGAAATGGCAGCATCTTCTATATGAGATCCCGATGGGAATTGTGCGGCAATAACCTATAGGCAGTTTTGCCATATGAAAACTGAGAACAGGATTTATGATTGCAAATACCCATCAGAATAAAATCACATTACAGTTCACATGTATTAATAGTGCCTCAAGCAAGTTTAGTCACATGACTACTAATGCATCTGTGATTATGAAGCCCGCTGAGAATGATGACATTCTTGTCTTGTTTTAACGCTAGACAATCGCTATCTTACAATATACTTACACGTTATTGTTTTAAGTTACAGAATAAAGATATTATTATAGAATAGATTTTGAATATGTTTAAGCTATTAGACAATTTACACCGAATGAACGTAGCTCTGAGTGCCAGTGCATGTCTCGAACATCTAATTTGTCAACTATTCAGTCATTTTGGTTGAATTTCTGAATTCAGTTATATCTCATATTCTTCTAACCATGCCATTAAAAAAAAAAATTGGCGATGTTGTTTTGCCTATTAGTTATGTAAATCAAATACAGGGTATAGATGGGTACTTCTGAGGAACACAGGACAGGACTCCCTAGGCAGAATCTTAAATTGAGAAAAATGTTCCTCAAGTTACTGATATTTCCCAAGATTGATGCCTTTATGTTCACAAAAACATTTTATTTTATTTCCTAAGACAGTTATTCTATCATGTAAGAAAACAATATTTGCTTCAAGCTATATGCCACTATAGGTTCTCTCTACAAATGTAACTCAGTCAAACCAATAAAGTCCATCCTGCATCTCGAAATAACATCCTTTACTTACTCATTTAAGATCATCAGGAATTCCAGATGATTTCTTAAAATGACATGTGGAATTCCTCTGCAATTTCAAAATATTTTTATGAGTTTGAGGGACAGAAATCATTTATTTTATTATCTTAAATGTGAACAATCATATTTACAAGAACAAATTTATAATTCACTGTTTAGAATCTGTAATTGTCAGTAACCATGGCAACTACAGTGTAAGTACTACCCAACAAGATATGTGAGGAGCATACGATAGAAGAAACATTTGTTGCTCTTATCCTGCAGAGAATACAAAACAAGGTTTCCAACACAATGACGCAGTCTATACAACGCGACTCCACACTACAAAATCGCGTTCAAGAAGCTAAATTATCAATGTGTTGTTTTTTTCTGTACTTGATATATGATATTGCTTTCAATTTATTCCATCATCTATCTTAATATTAAAAAAAAAAAAATTAAAAATAAACAAGATTACAACGGCTTTTCAATAACTAACAACTCAGGTGTGTCAAATATCATTGTGGAGATGATATTCAGGCCAACAATTTCTAATTCCCTGTTTTTCCACTTGGCAGAACCCATTGATAGACGTATAATGATGCCGAAAATGCATTCTGGAAACCCTGTCAGCTACAATCAACTTTCTAGCAAATCACGAGGAACTCACAAGTCGGTGTCAATGTTTTGTATTTATACAACGAGAAGACAAGCAATTCCACATACACTTCAAATTTTCAAACCAGCCGTACCGGATCTAGTCCTTGACGACTAACAAGACATGCTGATGATTACATTATCTTTTCCACGTTTTTGGTTTTAAATTCTCACATTTGACATTTTGAAATCCACACCACTGTCAATACAAAGGGTAATTTTACGAGCTAGTGTGATTATTATATTTCTAACATGAAAGGTATATATTGAGATTTTAATCATCAATAATGAAAGTTGATTTGCAGACATCGAATTACAACCGTCCCTGAATAAATTAGCAAGTATCATTTGAACTGCATATCCTGCAGTAGGGCCTACACAAAGGTATATATTACTTAATATTTTTCCTTTTTTCCTATTAACCATATGAATAACGAACGCAGTATGTACACAAGAAAATGAGATGAAAGGAATGGAATGAATATGTACCGAGCTACACTCAATAAAAGCATATGACGGGAAATTTACACAGCACAGGAAGTACACACATCATGACTTAAAGCACTAAAATGAACTACATCTCAAAATCAGTCACATCACACTATTTGACACTACGTGAATACACACGGAAATGACAATACAGTACAACGTCGATGAAAATATAACGCATAAAAAAAATATCAGCTTAAAAGTGGCTTTTAGTCATTGTTGCTCAATTTTACACCAGAAATTTATTTAATCAAAACTGTATTTTCACAAATCTGGCTCCTTGACCCACAGATGCGAGATAAAAGAAGACGCCGACACCTAATAGAGTGGATTTCCTGACCGGCATTATTCTCAGTTCAGTACTAGGCATTTCGCTCTGCATATTTTAACAAGGTTGAATGAAAACACATTTATTAGCGCCATTCCAACCTATTTAAATTTCCATATTACTGCAAGTACAAATAAAAATGTGTAATTAATGACCTCCCAAAAAAAATCAATAGTTATATGTTATGAAATTCTACATATTTCAAAACCATACTGGGGTTTGCGGTATCAGTGCAGTTCAATCGGTATAACTAGAAGGGTAGCTTATGGCACCCGGTGTTAAATACAGAAACCATTAGATAAACTACGTATTTAAGTAATAAATCAGAGTCATCTGTGTCAGGGAAAGCCTTTTAGAGGCAGAAAAAAAGGAAAATTGTAATAAAATGATCCTAGTTTTCAATTATGATGGATTCAGGAGTCTATTTTATACCCCATGAATTAAAAAACAAAAGCTCATCTTTTAAGCTTATAATGGCGTAACAATTGAACATAAATCATTACAGTAGTTAATTGTTATTTTATGTAAATCAAAAATACTAAAAAAAGTTATGCATCGTCATAGTTACTGCATATTTTTTTTATTGAGAATTGAATACCGTGTGCCTCCTTCCTCCAAACAGGGTAAATCTTGATTTTGTCTTTTCCTGTATATTAACAGGAACTAATATTGGAAATAATTCCCAAATAGCGTGTCCATAATAGAGCTTTATGCTGAAACTGGACATGATTGGGTCGTTGGGTTCTATCCATATGAAAGCTTGGGTTGGTTCTGATCCGTTGTTTGAAGAACAAATTTGCCAAACATAATAGCAGATTGCATGTAAACTGGACTTATTCAGAGGCCTCTGTCGACCATCAGCTGATGTTAGTGCTGAATTGCAAAGGGGAAAATATATTCTGGGTGAACTAGTAGAAAAGGTAGTAAAGATGTCAAAAATAAAAGCAATTTTGGGATGTTTGTGGTTCATCTATTTTATTTCTAAAATTTCTCCTTGTATTTTTTTCATACACTTAGGTTTCCATGCATGTGCATTTTATTATCACAGATTGTTTTGAGAGCATAAATCCCTGAATATTTAGTATTTCAAAAAGATTGTAATATTAATAAAAATGTTTCAATGAAATAAAAAAAAAAAACGAGGCTGAAAAAATTAATGGGTATACGCATGTATATAGATGTGACATGAAACATTGAGATTTTTTATGAAAAAATTCATCAACTGAGGTGTGATTTTGGCTAAAACTGAACGTCAACTCAGGGATTAACACCTTTTTCGGCAAATGCTTGAAACTCATATGAACGTGGTGGCTACTGTTCCTTTGCCAGTTGATTGGGGTCAAATGTCACATTATTGATTGGATAAACATTTTAATGTCAAGTAATACTCAACAAATAACAAGTAACCTAAGGGGTCACATTTAATTATTAAATTAACCTAGG